GCTGTAACTGAGGCAATGTTGTCCTACTAAGTGTAGGATCTTTGCACTACACTTGGCGAACGACGTACTCACTGCTAAGGCAAATTACTCGCGGGATGGAAAAATGAGCCAAATTCGCGTGACTGTAAGTGACCAGATAAGCGCACTAACCTTCCTCTCACCTAGTGATTCATGCGATATTTCCGAGCCTCCTGAAAATGACTCGTCACTATCGGATGTTCTCGAGAGATCCATTTTGTCTGGCGATTACATATCAATGTCATCATTCTAGCAGGCAAAGCGTCTACGGACACGTAAGCCGTTGAAAGTCATGCCCATGGTAACGTCACAGAGTAAATGTCATTTGACAGATCATGTAATCAGAGTGTTATAACTTCAATTTTTACTGTAAAAATTTTATTTCGCATTCAAAAGAAAAAAAAAGTATGCTGAAACAATGGCTTTTATCAATTTGACCAAAAGAGAGGACTATAACTTGAGGTAATTGCTATGAAAGTTAAAGAATACCGAAAACAGTCCGCAGACAACCCCGGACAAAACCTGTTGAGACAAATCGCGAAAATGCCTATTTTTTCCTGTCATCCCGGCAAAAACTGAAACCGCCGCCAAATGAATGCCCGATTTCCCCCCTCCCCTTATCCAAAGTTGTTTAGGATAGCATGGCAATTATACACGTTGGTTTTAGACCAAGGCAACTTTGAATAGGGGTGGGGGGGGTTTACTTTTTGTGTTTAGGGGAGACGGGAGTAGGGCGCAAAAGTTAGAAAATAGATGGAATTGTCTCAACAGTTTTGTCCGGGGTTGTCTGTGAAGGCCAGTTGTTCAAATCGCTGTAACTTCGCGATGTAAGGTCGGAGGGTATTGATTTTTTGCACAGATGTTGTACTTGTCTAAAGCTTTGTGACTACGAAAGAAGGTGTCATAAAAAACAATTAGGACGCATTAATTGTGCACTTAGAAATTTAGCCATAAATTAGAAACCTTATACCTAAATGAGAAAGAAATCATGCTCTTTACAGAAAAAGTATTGAAATTAATTGTGGTTGGTGGCCACGGTTAAGGAGTTACTGTGTGTCACAAATATGATATCTTAATAGGAGCCTTACCTCCGGCCTTTTTACCAACGTTAATTGTGCTTACATGTCGAATAAATTAGATAAGACTGGGTATTTATTATATTTGCGCAGCACAACTGTCCTGTTCAAAATAATAATGCGTGGTGTGCAGGTCATGCACGAGGACTCAACAATGCGGCGGAGCAGTTAAAAATAACCCTTAGAGGTAGTGATACTTAGTTGCAGTGACAACTTTCTCCATGTAGTTAAAGTAGAACTGGAAAAGTAAGCTTCACCGAGTTAACAATACCCGCGTTTACTGAGTGTGTAATTAGAACAATTTACAACATATATACCAGATTATCTACTTGACAAAATAATGGAATCCATGCCGATAAAACCGTTAACTCTTCTATGACAACCAAGACCAAAACAACAAATATTAATGAAGAACTTCCAAAATGGGTAGAAATAGGATGTGTAGGGAAAGCAATGCCTCTTTGATCACAAATACAGCGAAAACATGTTGTCACACGATGGCAGTTCTTTTGTGGCAAAAAACAGCGCACTTCATGACAATTACACCAGTGTCAAAAAGTTTTCCCTTAAGTAAAAAGGTCTTTTTAATGCTTGAAAATCAACAAAAAGGTTCTATATACTAAGGAAAATGCTTGAAAGCACCGTAAACGCTTGAAATAAACGATTAACAGGCACGCACATGTTTATTCCAACGGTTAACAACGGTTAACAGCGGTTAACAGAATATATTAAAGGAAACTGATAGTCTAACTGTTGTTTTTCTTCAGAAAAGTTGTTAACCGTTGTTAACCGTCGTTAACCGATGTTTCTTTCCTCTGCGGTACTTTATTCGTTAAGTTAACCGTCTGCGAGAAAAACTACTCCGTTTTTTTGTTGCATAGCAAGCTCATCGAAGCACCTTACACATCAAGGGATTTCCCGTTATTGTTCCCGCGGGATCTGCGTGGAGAAATGAGAGATCCATCATACCACATTCCCGTTCGTACACAATTCCACATTTGCTGTAACTGAGGCAATGTTGTCCTACTAAGTGTAGGATCTTTGCACTACACTTGGCGAACGACGTACTCACTGCTAAGGCAAATTACTCGCGGGATGGAAAAATGAGCCAAATTCGCGTGACTGTAAGTGACCAGATAAGCGCACTAACCTTCCTCTCACCTAGTGATTCATGCGATATTTCCGAGCCTCCTGAAAATGACTCGTCACTATCGGAAGTTCTCGAGAGATCCATTTTGTCTGGCGATTACATATCAATGTCATCATTTGAGCAGGCAAAGCGTCTACGGACACGTAAGCCGTTGAAAGTCATGCCCATGGTAACGTCACAGAGTAAATGTCATTTGACAGATCATGTAATCAGAGTGTTATAACTTCAATTTTTACTGTAAAAATTTTATTTCGCATTCAAAAGAAAAAAAAAGTATGCTGAAACAATGGCTTTTATCAATTTGACCAAAAGAGAGGACTATAACTTGAGGTAATTGCTATGAAAGTTAAAGAATACCGAAAACAGTCCGCAGACAACCCCGGACAAAACCTGTTGAGACAAATCGCGAAAATGCCTATTTTTTCCTGTCATCCCGGCAAAAACTGAAACCGCCGCCAAATGAATGCCCGATTTCCCCCCTCCCCTTATCCAAAGTTGTTTAGGATAGCATGGCAATTATACACGTTGGTTTTTAGACCAAGGCAACTTTGAATAGGGGGTGGGGAGGGGGTTTACTTTTTGTGTTTAGGGGAGACGGGAGTAGGGCGCAAAAGTTAGAAAATAGATGGAATTGTCTCAACAGTTTTGTCCGGGGTTGTAGCGTACTTGCACGCGCTTTTTCTTCGCCGATGAAGGACGCGTTTTAAGATTGCAAGTCAAACAACATGATGAGGCAAACCAAACTGAAGGAATACTTTCAGGAACGAAAAAGTGTCTGGTTTTTTTCGATAACACGGTAAAGACGATAACAAGCGCAACTTCAAACGGTTTAAGTTTACTTTTGTTAGTGCGTTTGCTAGATTCACAGTAAAATTTACTGTGTAAAGTTTGAAACTGCTTCTAGTGCTTTGCAAACTGTTTATGGACATGCTGCATGCTTGAAATGTTATTTTGTGAATCGGTTGATGCTCATTACAAATTTAATTAGATAACGATATTTTCGGCTATTTTATGGCCGTATCGTTATATCGGGAGTTTCGATACAACGATATAATTTTACTGCTCGCTTGGCATATCGTTATACCGGGGTTCCACTGTACCACCAAAACTCAACAAGGTGGAAAAAGGCTAGCTAATAGATACTAATATAAGTAACACGATGGAATGTTTTTTCATGTTGTGTTTACCGATCTTCGAATGAAGGTCAAAACAAAGACTTAGATGTCGTCGGAGAAGTGCCACGTCAATGCAAACCATGACCTCCACAACACAAAGGATCAAAAATTTTACTTTCCTCAGACAAATTCTCTTATCCGAATTTTATTTTTAATTCAGGAAACAAAATGTACATCACCATTTAAGCAATCAAGAGAAATTCTCTCTAAAGTGATAGAAGAAGCTCTTTGTCAGAGGCATGTTACAGTACAATAAATGCCGTCTTGAATGCCAACGTGGATTCAAGAACGAATATCAAATCAAAGATAAAATGACCACCTATCTTACAAACCGGACGGACACAAGAAGCTACAAGAACCTACCCTTTCTTCCTGAGGAGCTAATGGGAGTATCGGGACCTACCATAAAGAAAATCGAAATTCTTAAGTTTTACTATACTTTTAATTACAACTGCACAATTTCCCCCGAATACATGGAACCGCGATATTTAACGAAGGGCAAGGTACTGGAAAAATACTAATTTTTGCTATAACGAGGTTTACTCTTGCGAAGAATATAGTTTACGTTATACCAAGGACTTCTCGATACAGAGGTTCGTTATATCGAGGTTCCACTGTATTGACAATTGAGTAAGGAATAAATTTAAAAAGGAGATAGATGAATGTTCGGTTGATTTTTAACAGCAAGGAATCTTGAGAGTGTGGAGATATCGCCAAAGTAAACATTGGAAAGAGCAACTTAAAATAGTATGGTTTCTTTCTCAAAAGTATCTGAAAAATAACACATCAAACAATCACACTGGCCTCATTCCGGAGTTTCTTGAAATTCGTTGAAATTTGCATGAGGACTTTTCTTGAAATTTACGAAAGACCCTTTTTCAGTGTCAATTTTTTGACTACGATGAGTTTACGTTTCTATGCGAACTATTAATAAAGAGTGTGTTCCATTAGTTTTCTTGACAGATTTCCTTTAAAAAACGTTGCTATCGATATCTTGTTTTGACACATTAAACTTTAAAGGAAATCGTTGTCTAAAATGTTATGACACCGGTTTGTTCAAACGAAGTTTGTAAGATTTTTTTTTAAAAAGATAGTATGGTTTTTTAGTCTTGGCTGTAAGCCTTCTTGATGCATTGAAAAGGTAACAATGTTCAGATGTGAGGGTTGGTCCATTTTTAGTGAGCTTAGAACGCGGATCGATTTTTTTAAACATAGTTTATAATCTGTTTGAATATACGGCCCTCTATGTTTTATATTAAAACTTTGAATTCTTCTCCGTCCCAATTGAAAACCAGCATTAGGGTAGGTTTACGCAGACGATTTCTCCACTATTTTAAAATTTTTTCTTGGCCTTCTTAGTCATTGGGGTCTTATCTTTACTCGGCGATTGCCGTAAGCCGGGTAAACACTTCAGCCAAGGTGAGGTTTTTGGTTACTCTGGTATAGAAAATCGCCGAAAAAGGGCATCAGTATTCGAGGAGTTCGAAATAACAGTAATTTCGTATAGACCAATTGCAAGAACAACAATTATTGGTTTAGGAAGCAAGCTTAATATATATGACGTAACTACTGATGAAAAAGTCACCATACCGGCAGAAGAGACATCCTGCGTATGATCTCTTTTTCCCCCTTTTCTGATCGTTTGAAGAACTCTATTTGAGGATTATTACTTTTACCAGGTGGTTGAACATAGATCACGTCACTCTTACATTCAGGAAGCATGATCTTCTTAGCTTGAACTCTGTTTAAAAAAAGTGAAATCTTTAACCAATAGAAAGACAAAGTGTACATAGCCTACGTGCCTCCTATTTCCCTTTAGGCTCCATACCCGGGCTCATTGGATACTCATTGCAGTAAACCCTGCTTATTTATCCAATAAAGGCTTCAAAATCACTCCAATTAACGCATTACAGTTAGTATTTATCTTAATGAAATTAATAGATGTATACTGTATATATTGAGTGATTAGTGCAGTCTGAACTTATTCCACCGTCATAATGCATCAGTCAATTCCAGCTACGCACAGCACCCCCCCCCCCCTTCCGGGCTACTGCGGGGCATTTGTCCGCCTTGTCAGTCCCGGGGGTGGGGCATTTGCAAATTTTGTGCTGCCCGGGGGCCGGGCATTTGCCAACCCCGGGGCCATTCCTGAGCTTTTGACACGCACGCGGTTTCCTATCAGAAAATAACTACACAGAGGATTTTCCTGGGAAAGAAAGCAGATTGGCTCATCTGTCAAGGACAGGAAAAATTGAAGAGGTTTGTAAAGGCATGTTCTTGATTTTATGCATGCATTTCTTCATTGCTTATCGAGCCAGAATTACATGGGGAAATCGTGAGCTATCGACGTGAATCAACGTTTTTTGGTTATTGAATCAAATTTCTGTTGAGATTATTTGAAAAACATCCTTTCATATTTATAAAACTATTCATTACATATAACTTGACAGCGCTCTATTATTTTAATATCAACGATTTTACATCAATACTAAAATTATAAACTGGTGCATGTCGTTGCGGCGTGAAGTCCTAATTAGAATCATAGCGCTATTACAAACGAAGACGTTAATTGAAACAAAAAATTACACATTAAAATGCTTAAAACGGCACTATTCGACTATGCGATCAATGAAAAATGTTGCAGAGTTTACGGAGGACGGGGCCTTTGCCCTCTTTTTTCGTCCCCACCCCGGGGGATTTGACAGCTCAAGAGTCCCCACCCCCGGAATTTGCCATTCAAGGCAAAAAAAAAAAATGCTAATGCCCGGGGGTTTGCCCGGGGGGGCGCTGGGCGCAGCTGGAATTGACAGATGCATTAAAATGTACAACCCTCGATCTTCTTTCTAGGGTTGGATCGACAAGGACGTGAGACCCAACGTTCTTTTTGGTGGACTTTAGGCCTTACTCTTTCGAAAAAAATAATATAATCGACAAAAGTAAGACATGTGCAAATGACCTACAAAAATTGAAAAACAATTATATTATTAAAAATACACTTTGCAGTTGTGCTGCGTTGTAGTTTTAATTTCTCGCAGGTCGTGAATACTCGCTAAATTTAATATTACCTTCGTTCGCGTGTTAAACACTAGAACTTTGGTGGCAGATAGATGTCACCAACTGAGTGGCAAAGTTTGAACGTTTCAGTGAACTTAATATATCAAATATATGGGGAGGATTTAAATCAAGGAGATGGGTTTGAGTATAGTATCTTCAATGTTTTTATATCTATATTAATAGTTAGTAGAGGAGTCAGACTGGTAAGGAAAGCCGGCAAACATCAAAGTTGAAAGCAGTAGTGCTGCAGTTTATGTTGGAAGTTCCCTGACCAGGCGCGGATCCACACCGGTTTCCACGGTTTTACGGAAATCGGTCAGATTTTTCATAACAAATATCTTTTTTATAATATAAAACTTTCCAAGCTGAAATTTTGCTCCATATCCTTCACAACATGGAAATTAACCTTGATAAAATAATCCGCCGATTTGCAAGGCTTCATCCGATGATAATGAACTGGCCAATATCCCGTATGAATGACTCAGAAATCAAGGAAAGAGGACTTTTGGGGAGTTAAAATTCAAAAATTTCCCGGTGGGGTATACCTGCAGACCCTCCTAGAAGCTTGAACCTTTGACGCTCGTTTTGGAAATCAATCAGTATTTATTCTAGATCCGCGCCTGCTGACCGTGCACAATCCTTTGTATTTTGTTCACAAATTGTGACCGAATAAATTAATGCGATGTTTCAATTGGTCAGTAAGTTCAAAATGATAGGAATGCTATTGAACGTTGTGCACGGTCAGGTCCAGAAAAACTAACAAAAACATATAACGAAGAGTTTCCCAACCATTCCACTTTGATTAACTATGCTATAGTTCAACTGAAAAATATAACACGAGGGTGAACGTGGTGGTAGTATCAAACCATAACGGAAAACAGCTCTGACCATTACCAACGGTGAAGCTTCCTGACTTTACAACGAACTTTCGCTTTTCACAAGTCACAAAAAAAACTTAGAGCAATGAACGCGTCCAAAAACTCACCAGGATTCTAGGATTTTGATAATGGCCAATGTGAACGAAAATAATTCTTCGTTGAACCTGTCGAAATTACCGTGAAGTTGGACCGGTACAATATCTTTATTGCAGTTAGAAACTAAATAATATTCCCTCAGTCACCGTACGGAAAACTCGTGCAATATGTGTTAATGAAGTTGTTTTGAAGCGGCCAGCTGGTTTTGCTGAACGAGAACAGAGGCTGTATTGATACCTGGACTAAATGGATTGACCAAAGCCTGTACTTTCAACTAATCAACCAGTAGCTTGTAGTTTGTATTCTTTTAGTCAGATGAACATTTTGGCGAGTGGTTTTTAAGGTGCACTTTTGCTTTTATATAAGACAAATTTAAAACATTTCATGTTAAAAAAATCTAAACTTTGGACATGTCATACAGCAGAATCATTTAGTTTTCCCTTTAGATAAATTAGTAAAAAAGTGGACTGTAACGTTGATGCAAGATGTGATGTGCACAGTTTCAACAGTTCCAAGCGCTATTCGAAGTATAAGATCAGTTGCTAGTTGTCTATTCACCTACGTTTTTGCTTCTTTTAAGCTTGTAAGGTAACAACTTCAGTTTGAGTTTATTTTCTTGATTTTCCGTAGATGACCACCTCCCGTAAGCGAACCCTTTGTCGTGCACATGGGTGGTCGCATAGGGGAAGATAGAGGGAGAGGGCGGAGAGAGAGAGAGAGTTGACTGTAGCTGTAAAGTTATTTAATAATCTTTTTAGTCAATTTTCTTACTTTATCTGCATTTCCTCTTCAGACAACTCTTCATCCAAAGTAGAGTCCAGGGAGACAAGACTGAAAAACAAAACGTCGCCTTGGCAACAAGTTTGCAGTAATGGGCCGCCATGAAAAAGCACAATGCGGTTGGATGTAACGTCGCCCAGTTCTTCTCCTTCTGGATAGCAACACAAAATTAAGGCTAAAGAACCAGGAATATCACTTTGACACAGCCAAGCCTCTAACTTTACAGTCCATGATCGGGAAAGCCAATAACGGTGACCCACCATGGCTGTTGTTAATAGAATCGGTACAGCATAAAAGAACCACGGCCAAAACCTGCACAAAAATGATAAATTAATACTTATCATAGTTGTCTACTAACGTTAAAGGTATGTTTAAACTGTTATTCTTTCAAAATATTTATCTAATTTTGATTGGTTCAAATCCCCGGTTAATAACCAGCTGCTACCGTTGCCAAATTTTGGAACACGATTGTAGATATCGATACAGTCTGACCATGGACAGGAAAAAGGACAGCAGAAGGCGCGGTAGCTCAGCTGTTCCTGGAAGAAGCCGGAATTTCACTCGTTTTTCGAAAGAAAAATGGCCCGGAATTAACACATAAAAACTTTAGTAAAATACCACACTCGACGGAAGCAAAATGCTTTACGAAGAATATCTGCTAGACTAAACATCCCTTTATACCCTTAAACTGCCGAGGAACCGTATTCGCCAAAATGCAACCATAACAATAGGCAAAGTTTGATACGCAGCCTCATCCAATAATTCAGTTGTTAATGGTAAAATCGCAGCCATCGCAAACTCTATGATAGTCCTTCCAACCTGAATTCTGCATGTAAGAAAATGTATGAATTCGAGACCCAGAAGACTTTCCATGAATTTGCGTCGTCGTTTATTCGTTGCCTAAGGCTTTTGTGAAGTCGTGTAGGCGAGTTTCAAAATCACCTGTTGCACTTGCAATATTAACTTGAAATAAGGTTTAGGGCATGCAGAAAGCTTACCATTCGAACTCGAAGCTTCTTAAATCACATTAAAATGTTCAAACGCGCTAAAATTGCATTTATAGAGATCTTCCATGCAATGATGTCTATGTCGGTTTTATAGGCTTTGTTTGGAGAAGTTTATAGTTAAAGGACTGATTAAAAGTTTAGAGTTATAAAATATACATGGGTAAGAATAAAGGAATACCTGGGGCACACAAATGAAAGTACATTTCTCGCATACTGGAAATCAGTAGACATCATCACCGTTAAAATTTCAAGTAGTTTGAATAAAAGAAGGGTATTGAAACAGTATTCTTCAGCTTCAGGTCTTAACAAAACCATTCTCAAAAGGTCTGTTTCGGACTGTTCCTACTGATCTTTCTTTTCTCGACAGACGCGTTTGAATAATACCCAGGACGTAACATATTGAAATTCTGTCAGTGGCCACTTCAAACCCTAATTCATGGTGAAACGTTTTTCGATAGGGGGGTTCCCACATCGCTTTCACCAAACGAGAAGATGCCCGGTCACGATCGTCATGATGAGCAAGCTGATATTATCTCTACTGCTCACTGCAAGCGCTCTGCTTTTATCGTTCCGGTCGTCCAGATAACAACCCTTTTAAGATAAAACCTCTCTTGAGCTCGATAAACTATCAAAATGTAAGGTAACGGTGTGCCATGGGGATCGGGGGATGGCGAGACTTACGCTTACTGAACTACGAACGATGAAAGCCCTTCGCTTAAGCTGAAAAAACAACTGTCTTGTTTGGTGACAGCAAAGCTGAGCCCCTCTAACAGAACAAAAAGTTTAAATTGAAAGTAAAAGGTTTTACGAGAAGTTATACTATGTGATGAAACCTAAATTAAAAGAAGCGTCGATTGGAAGGAAAAGAAAAATTATGGGCATATGCGATGAGGACAATTTTGTAGAGTTCGGATCATTTTTATAGGAATCATGGAGATTCGACGCGAGTTCAAACTGTCTGCTTTGCAGCACTTTCTGAAGTGATTTTTCGTAATCGTCCAGCCTTACTACACAGCAATGAGTAAAAAATGTCCAAGTTCCTAGGCAAACTTGGAGTTGAATTATAAATCGTCAGAATAGCTACACATTTGCAGTCATTAGGGCCATTTATACGAGGAAAAATAAGACGCGTCTTAAATAAGACGCGAACTGTACCATTTATACGAGCATTTCTTATCTAATAAGACGCGTCTTAGCTAAGCCGCGTCTTATTTTAGACGAAATGTGCCGTTTATACGGAAAGTTTGCGTCTTATTTAAGACGCGTCTTATGTAAAACGCGTCTTATTTTTCCTCGTATAAATGGCCCTATTGTCTCCAAAAGAATATATAGTCGCTTGCGTTTCAGTTTTTCTTCGCAATTTTAAGACCTAAGGGATCAGATATGCGGCTATGTTGAACAAATAGTATATCCCATTATTATTCTTCTCCTCTGTCACCTCGTCCTTCTTTTTAAAACACATCCTTTAAAAAAATTCAGTGGAACACTACTAAAACGCCCAATGTTGAGCCATGTCTTGTCGTATTTACTAGGTTTTCTAATAAAAAGAAAACTAGGCGGAGTGTATAAAGGTTTAGGCCAGATAAATGTGGTCATAATAGCAAGGTGTTGTATATATAAACGCTGGGGGGTTGTGCCCCGCGGCCGGTTCCAGTTTAAACTGTAAACTCTGCTTTCATGATTTCACTAAAAGAGCTGACCGCTTTTCAAGTAAGTATAATGTGAAAACATCTAATGCCAGTTGCAGGCCTCTTCGCTCCCTCCCCCACCTACCCACTGGTCTGCTCAAAATTTCACGAAAGTTGAATCTGCACCAAACCAAAAATATTAAGTGGCTACTTTTTTAACCGCGGAAAAAATAATTCGCGCCCCTAGATACTAAGAATAGCCCTTATGCATGTTTACGTCACACAAGCAAATTTCACCACCAAGCCTCGTTTTGAAATTAAAAATAAGCGAAGTTTCACAGAAATGAATTCCCAAGGCAGTAGAGTTGAAAAGAATACCCACGCACAAAAAGTGCAAATGCAAAAAATTTTGTTCACAAACGAGGCTTGTTGGTGAAATTTACTCGTCTGACGTAATCATGCATAGGGGCTATTGTACTTACATCGAAAAGTGGCTGACTTGAAATGTGACAACTCCATTCTCAACTTTAAAATCTTTTGGATGCAGTTCAGCCCATGCACTTGATTCATCCTTGGCGTGGAAAATTCTGACCTCACGTAACTCTTCAACCCTTGAATATACCTCCTCCGATTCTTTACGCAAAGTGAAGGGGATCGTAATTGTAGCATGTTGCGTCAGCGTAACTTCTTCGGAGCAGAAAATGTGAATAATAGGCCCTTCTCGTTTTTCTTTCTCATCACCTTGTGGTACTTCCTGCACCTATTGAGGCATAACAAAGCATGGATAGATCCTAAATTTGTTCATCACAATTTGTTCGGTCCACATGGAACGACTTAATGAACTGTCAGTCTTAAGAATTTTCTTTGCTACCGTCGGTTTGGATGTCTGACCTCTATTGCCATGTAAAAGGAGGCGTCCGGGGGGGGACAAGTTTCCGTGAACGAGTTTGGAAGAAAACTCCCAGTGCGAAGAAATACGGCTGTAAGTAGAAAGGGAAATGACGCCATTTCGTTGCTATGACACCTCCGACGTCAACAGAACAGTGATTATAACCAATTTTCACCTTTGTCTGATAAAGCTGTTAGTAGTGATCCTTTTTCTATATCTCTGTAAACGACGATTAGTAAATGCTCAAACGCCGTGAGGTATTGGCCTTGAAAACGCAGGTCGAGCCACCTTGATTTAGGACCCCACGGAGTAATAGGTTTTTATCTTCATAAAAGCACCGGCTGATGTTTTGTTAGAACTTTAATAAATGAAATACCTTTACTGTCAACGAAAAGTCTTCATTTACAGGTACGCAACTCTCAGGAACTGTCACGCTTACACCCGGAAACTCTGTCACTGTGCAGTTAAATTCAAGTGCTCCTGAACTGGGCTTCCAGAATGTAAAAGACCTCAGACGCCAGATCGTAGCAAACAAAGAGCAATCCGTTATATCAGATATCTCCGCTTCAGCAAAAGGATACATCCATTCCGGGAAAATCCGTTGATCATCTTCACTGAGATCTGTAATCAATGAACAAAACAGTACACATAATAGAGACGACCAAGTACAGTGGTAAAAACTTAACTGGCTTGTAGGACTGTCTAAAATGAATATTTAAGGTGGCTTTGCATCTCTTTTACTGAAGGCGGGGCTTTTTTAGAGTTTTTCGCTTAAATGCTATCACAGATTTGCATCTTTGCATCTTTGCCCCATGTAAGGCAGTCGTGGATACTGGATTGCAGTCATTCCAGCGCTGTGGATTCCCGAAAGCAAAAATGGCAGTCAATCTCGGTTGCAATGTTAACGTCAATGTTGACGTACACGTAATGATGACTTAAAATTATTCTCCCGACAAATTTTAGAAAAAGTCGGTTATAGATTGAACGGTTTTGAAGTTATTAAAATGAAAAGCGAGGGTGGCCTTTAAAGCAGGTAACGCACTCGTCCTTATGGATTTCCCTCATATGTTCTTCGACCTCTTCGATATTCATTACGTGTTTATAGCCTATTCTACTTTAAATATTGTCTCTTTTGTGTATTTATATATCAAATAAATTTATTTGCTTTTTGTCTCCTAAATTTATTTATCTATTTATTTATTTTTTGAGGGCCGTAGGTTTTGAAAACTGTAATAGGTTACTGCGCTTCCCTTTTTAAATAAAGTTATTGTATTATTGACCTTAAAATTGTGTTAATTTTTTATTAGTATAGGTAATAGCATGATTTGTAGTGATATTTGGCATAAATACCACGAGTGATATTTCGAAACTGTTATACGTGCCGTTAGGCGAGTGAAATTAGAGACAATTTTGAAATATCACGAGGGGTATTTATGACAAATATCACTACAAATCATGCTATTATTTGTTTATATTATTCTTCCCGCAAAGGTTTTGTACTTTTCACAAGTAGGTATTTCAAATCAAGCTGGAATACCACTGTTCTAAGCCAATCAAATAGCAGAAATTTCTCATGTAGTAGTATAACTATACTCACAACATCTGACAAATTAAGTGAAATTCGATAAGATCGATGAAGTTTGAGATAGTACTAATTCACTTTCTAAAAGACGTATTCAGTTTGTTGTCAGCCAGAAATTTTGCTACCATGGCAACGTGAATTAACGACTATCCTCTCTTTAATGGAATGGAACCAAGGAGCGTTTTACCTGAAGGTTTCCGGACGTTTCTGGTCTCCAAATCCTTCCACTCATTCCTTTCCTTGTCCACTGACGCTTTGATCACAACTTCATATCCTCTTAAGTCAGGGCAACTATAACGCAAAGCCACCTTCACCTTTTCTTTAGAAACCTTGCTAGACTTGTCGATGGGTTGAAATTGTATCACTTTGCTAATCAAAATTTCATCTTCAATAAGAAGTGCTGAGCCTATCGTGGGACCTTGTAATTGGAAACACATATTCATCGCAGGTGTCGTCACAGTCGTGAGAGGAGATACAACGCAAACACCCACATCTTCGTAACAGTTCAACAAGGCTTCTTTCAATATAATGCGTTCTCTGTATATATTGAAAAAAATATATATACATATTATTTAGCTATACCGGCATCTTTATTTTATTTACAAGTCTCTTATGTTGTTTACTTTCCCTTCAACAAGTTGTAAATGATGCGCTTTTAAATCAAGCGATAGCGCATCTTCAAAGTAGCCTTTATTTTGTCTAACATATGGGAGTTTGAACATGTCGTTTTAAGAGCAAAGGAACTTACCGGAGTACTGGGAAAAAATCTCTTACGCAGAGAAAGGCCGAGGACCAATAACAACCCAAACCGGCATACGGCGTCACCTGCGTCGGGAGGCACTCCCGCTGCGTAATATCCATTATAGACCTCTTTAGCTTATGTATCTTTTGTTTTTCTGATACAGGTCATGTGATAACAGTCTAGAGAACTGCTTCTTCCAAATTATTATTATTATTAATAATAATAATAATAGTAATAATAATAATAATAATAATTAAAGTTCGTAAAAAGGCATTCTACATATAAATGTCTCGAAGCTTTTTACAACTAAAAGAAAGAGCTCTCACGAAACAGATACGTTTTCAAAGCCCTTTTAAAACTATCAACAGAGTTACTTTCAATTGTCAGGTCTAATGGCAAGCGGTAGCTGATTCCATAACTTCGGAGCACTGTAAGTAAGCGTAGTAGTCTTGGGAATAACTAGGAGGTTGGAATCACCAGAACGAAGAGAACGACAGGGACTGTAATGATGTAACAACTCATCAATATACACCGGGGCAAGGCCATTAAGAGATTTGTACGTAATCAACAATAACTTATAAAATAAAAATTATTCTGTTCTTAACAGGAAGGTAGCGCAATATTATCGGTCCTCTTTAAGCACACACTTAATTTTGCCGCGGTATTCTGCAATCTCTGAAATTTCTCAGTTTCACGAGAGGGAATTCCATAGAGCAAACTATTACAATAACCCCAATTTCGATAAAATGAAGGCAAGGAAAATGTGCTCAGTATCCGCTTGCGAAAGATATTTTCTGATTCTGCCAATAGAATGAAACGAACGCGAGAGAGCGCGACAAGTGTTGTTGACATGGGGAACAAAGGTGAGGTGTGAATAAAGCGTAACACCGAGGGCATTGACAACACTAGTCGGCTGAACGTACTGATCACGGACTTTAATCGAAGCAATCTGTTCTGCAGGTAAAAAACGCGAAGAGAAATGGGTTATCTCAGTCACTGATCTTTGGCGGAATACAATTTATTTGGGCATATTCCATAAATTTCAACTCATGATATCATCTAGACACAAACTGAGATTTTCTACAGCAACGGCGCGGTTCCTGTTACGCATAAAAAGGTAGAGCTGGGTGTCCTCGGCATACATCATTGCGTCGAAGCCGTGTGCGGAGATGATATCTTCAAGAGGGGCGATATACAGCGAGAATAACAGCGGCCCAAGGCCCGACCCTTGCGGACAAGACAGATATCTTGGTCGAGAAAGAATTTTACTCCTTCCGAGTAATTGGTTTTCGAAACCTCCAACGAGCGATTATAATTGCGGCAGGCTTGATAGTAAATTTGCTTGACGATTAATAACTCAGAGTGAATTGAAATTTTCTTTCAAGGCGCCTTTTAACACGATTTAATTCTTGAAGACCGTCTGAGAACCAAGGCGCACATGGCCTAAAGGTTATATTCCTTGTTTGTTCTGGGGGGTGCTTGTCAAGTAGAAGACACAAAGTATTATCATACGCGGTCATCATGCCGTCCAAGTTATCAACTGATTCTTTAGAGACGACACGGCAGATGTCCTTCCAAAAAGCATCAAGATCGATGTCCCGAGTCTTCCGATGCGTGACAGTTATAGGGGTGGCAGGAGGCCGCGGTAAATTTGTGAAGCACAAAACCACTAGGTTGTCAGAGAAAAGATCTGGTAAAATTCTTGTATGAGAAATTAGAGTATCCATTTCGCGAGTGATGAGAAGATCCAATGTGTGTCCCAGACGATGGGTAGGGCCATTACAGTCAAGGCGGGTCAAGCGTACCCCCCGAGATTCTATTAATGAACTGATTATTTGAAAAATGAATCCGTTGGTGGTTCCGGTAAACAGTGTCAAATTCAAATCGGCATTCCCGCATGTGTAATGAGCAGTGAATATTTTACGAGAACCTCTCTGTATTTGGTCAGATTGAAAATCTTTGAATGGGTTAAATTTCGTAGAAGACATTTACGTCAAATTCAGGGAAACTGAGCTGGTAGAAATTACGTACCTGCCTCGCGTGTGAATTCACGGCTCATTTAATACGCATGCAAGAATGCAGAGATGAATCTGAAATCTACAGCTACCAACGGATTCAACTTTCGGTTAACATAAAATTCATCAATGTAATCTTGGGGGGTACGCTAGACTGTAACATGCTGTTTCAGATCAACAGAAAAAAGGTCGTGGAATTGTTTGGCATTTCTGTTTGTATTTAGCCTGAATTTCATTCGATTGCTTCGAGTCGTTTCCTCCTCTCAGCAACGTCTGAATCCACCGGCCGTTAATGCCGTCCAGTGACGTCACTACTACCCAAAAACCGGGTAGTGATTTTGATTGGTTGATTGTCTAAACATTCGCATAATTATGTATACCGTATTTATTGGAATAAGAGCCCAACCTCGAATTAGCGACGACCTCGAATAAGCGCCCATCCTAAAGGCAGAAAAAGTTAATGGGCGCCCAGCCTCGAATAAGCGCCAACCCCCACCCCACCCCACCCCACCTCCCTCCCACTCCCACTCAAACTCAAATAAGCGCCCACTCCCTTGCCGCTACCACCCAAAAAAAAGAATAATTACTAATTTGAGACTTCTCCGAAGACGGAGTTTTCTTCAGGGTGTTTGGCAGAAACCTTGCTTTGTTACATCTTCGCGTTTTGTTATTACCATTTACTGTTTTCTTGCAAAATATACATACTACACTTGTTGAAAATTGTGAAAATTTAATAAGCGCCCAGCCTCGAATAAGCGCCCACTTCGAATAAGCGCCCACTCTCAAGGTCCAAAAATTTAATAAGCGCCCAAGGCGGTTAATCGAATAAATACGGTAATTATGAGAAATTTTAGCAGGATTGTCGCTTGATATTCAGCGGATCGCATCGGTGGCATGCCTGCGTAGAGTTCAAACATTTCGATAATCTTTATCGTAAACAGCAAAATTGCCCTTGTCTTCGAAACTGAATTGCTAAATTGAACTGCGAATGAAGAATCATTGCGGAGAGTCGGTAGGTTTTTCATTTAGAGCAGCTTTGTGGTTTCCGAAGTGATTTTGTTCATGCGAAGTTTCTGAAGACCAATGTCAAGTTGTCATTCGACCTTTTTGCCATTTTCACCGTCAAGAGTAATGATTCTGTTAGCTTTTCTTTCTTGTTTCGTTGTTTTCTTTTTTCTTCGTTAAAAACCAAATAGCTTCTTTGCAATTTAAGGAAATTGTTGTGTTTTTGAAGTAACTGTTTCGTGTTTGTATTTATTTCTTTGCGAGATTGCGCCGAGTTTCAATTACAACCGGTTCAGAGTATGGGCATGCAGTTGATAGTTTGAACGTTAAAAACATGAATTACGATCGAAAAGAGTAAAGCAATTCTGTCAGCTGTTCTGTATCATGTAAACATTTCTAAACGATAATTTCTTGGTTTGCCACTTGAAAATCGTGTTTTGCTTTTTGCATGAACTTAAAGCAAAGGATCAAAAGGAGTAGTGACGCCACTTGACGGCATCAACGGCCGGTCGACTCAGACGTTACTGAGGGAGTAATAAGGACTCGAAGTAATCGGATGAAATTCAGGCTAGTTTGTATTGTCAACGACGTGAAATTTGAAATCACCACAAAGAAGAAATTGACAGGATGTAACAGTCAACTCCTGTCAAGACGTTTTTGAGCTGAGAACTCGCGTTTTGATGAAACCAGAGGTTCAGAAACGTTCGTATAAACACAGTTAGATTTAATGTCCAATATAACAGTTTTCAACCCGTGTATGCTCTTTGTTATGTTAGAACTTTAAAAGCGTATAGTAGATTTGCTTAATGATTTGCATTTGGCGCCAAAACCGCGTTCCCGATCCAGTTCTGCTCGGCCAGACATGTCGTTCGTGAATCAAGAACGTCTGGTGCTAAAGTTTCCTTCTGTCATAAGGTGAAAAATCTTGTTACCAGAGGTGACATTTAAATCAAAATGTTCAAACGTAGAGAAAATACAGCCTTCATTCCGCGTAAAGTACGGGGAACAAAAAAACACGCAACTTGTCTTGTAACATTGCTGCAAAATGAGTTGAATAGTGATGTTGCGCGTTTTACCGCTCACATCAAACCTGTCTTGCAACAAATCAGGTTGTTAACAGGTTTGAACGTGGGTGGTAAAACACGCAACATCGCTATTCAACTCGTTTTGCAGCAATGTCGCAAAACAAGTTGAACGTTTTTGTTGCCCGTTTCGTCGAAGCTTAACATGCACTTGCATCTGTATGAACAGTTTAAAAGAAGACAAAGGGTCAAGTTCCCTTCAGACCTCTATTGGGAAAACAACAATACCAGCTAAAGAAGACTATTACGCCCATGATGCAGTCTTTAGTACTCTTCTCAGATCCCCTCCACACGTATCCGGATATTTGAATCCGCAACGTTTTCTTTCCGGATACGGCTATCTTCCACACGAATCTGGTGAATCCGGCAGACAATTCCGCAACTTTTTGAATCGGCTCTTCAGAGTGGAAATTTTTGAATATGCTATGAATCCGGAATATCGTATGGACGCTAAACTCGGATATTTTTTTATCCGGCGACATAACAAGATTAAGCCCAGTTCTTTACCGTAGTTGACAAGCTCGTTCCCAGGTTCTTTCTGTTTCCCGTCGATGCATATTGCAAGATGTAATTTTCGCGCGCTTTAAGACGCGTGCTCCGTTGCCAATATCCCCAGAGGTACTAGAGTGAATACAGATACGTATCGGAAACGTGTGGACGGAAAAATCCGATTTGAATACGGATAAGAGCAGACGTGGAAACTTTTGAAATCGGAAATTAAGAAAAAGTTGCGGATTCAAAAATATCCGGATGCGTGTGGAAGGGGGCCTCAGTCTCTCTTGTGTTTATACTAAAAATTCATTATAGGCCATTGAAACTTCACGGGATGAGACATAATGCATACAATTTACATTATACCTTGAAACTTTAAAAAAGCACGATGACGTTGATAAAATAAAATAAAATAAACAAGCAATTTGAGTTTTCCTTGCTCGGATAAAAAGTCAAGGATTTTTACTTTTTCACAGTTTTCACAGTCTGAGAAAACAGCCGACATTAGGGAGCTTAAGCAACAACGACGGCGGCGGCTACAAAAACGTCACTTAAAAAGTGAAGTCGCGCTGTCTCAAACTTTATCGCGCTTATTCCATCTCGTTTACTTCGTCAAATGTTGGCAAATGTTTTTGGAGTTGAATTCTAAAGGACTGTATCAAAGTTCAGGAAAAGAAAAGAAAGTTGTTGTCTTGTGTTCCCGTCCTCGACAAAACGTGAATTCAGGCACTTTCAGGTTGTAGTCGGGCAACGACGGCAAAGAAATGTACATAAAAGCGTGATGCACGTGTAAAGTCGTTGTTTTGCTAATCAAACCTATTGCTTTTTTTGCCGTTCTCGTTGCCGTCCGCGCGGTCGTTGCTTAAGCTCCCTATTACGCGACCCCACCAACGGCTTTTCCGCGAAATGACGTCTGAGAAACGAGCCCAGAAATTCTATACTGATGACGCGTCACTACCCCGATCTGGGTAGTGCTTCTGACGGGTTGAAACACATTTCCCACTCGGCACGACCAATCAGAAGCACTATCTAGATCTGGGTAATGACACGTCATCAGTATGGAATTTCTGCGCTCGGTTCTCAGATGTCATTTCGCGGGGAAACTGTTGGTGGCGTCGCGAAATGTCGGCTGTTTTGTCAGTTTTCAAAGCATTCAACATTTTTCGTCCACATAGTATTCTTTGAAGATCACTCAGAGAGGTCGATATAAATAAGGAAAACGGACTAAAACGCACATGTCAGTACTTACACAAAGACTGCTTTACGATCCTCTCCTGGATGCTGTTCTTGATGCATCGAATCTGAAAGAATTTGTTCTCATCAACAAAGTTTTAAAGTAGCTGTCCCAGCGGTAGCAGTATCCAAGGAGGTTAATATCAACTGTATCTCGGAGTAAAGGTTCGACAATATTTTACACCATTAAGTTAAAAAAAATCCTTGACAAGAAAAATGTGCTTGAACTTTGGCTTAACCCTGAGTTCTTGGTCTTGGAAAGTATGATCACATTTCAGCGATCTTTCCGCCTTCGAGGTGCTTCATATTGAAACCGAAAGAAAGGACTTGCCGAAAGTCCTGTAAAGGGAGTCTCAATAATTGTGTGTATAAATTATGTTGATAAAACATTCCACTTCTAGCATTCTCACTCAGTGTTGGTTTAAAGTACAAATCACTCCAAATTTGCAAAACTTGGACGAATTCTACGCGCTTTCAGCATTCAGACGGGGTACAATTTGCGTGAATCGGATAAAACTAGCGGCCTCCATGCTCGGTTAAAAAGTACGAAATATGCCTATTTGAACAGCTTTGGTCAGAAGGTGGTACAGATAGTTACTTGGGTTGAGTGAAGAAATATACACTAAACGACTGGTTCCGAGGGAAACTTAGCTGTTTTCCCAAGGACCAGACTTTAGGTGACTAGTTGGAAATTTTGAAGCTGGAAATTCATTAAACCTCCTGTAACGGCGGTCGTCGGTCAACATTCGCGGGTAACAGTGCACTGTTACCTCTGACGTTATAGATTTTGCAATGTTGCCAGCTCAGAGAATTTGGCGGGAAACAGTTTCATTGTCAGATGAGACCTCGAAGTAACCAACGAGAGCGCGCGCTGTTGGGAAGAAATTTCCAGCTATGTTTAAAACAATACTATTCGCCAAAGCTGCTTCTCGGGGATTATTCAACAATATTAACTGAGCCTGCTTTTCCTCGGCCCCTCGCGGCTCCCTTCGCTTGCCATAAAACACCGTTATACACCGTTAATGTAGGATCCTCATGTTTCATTTTCATCGTTATTGATAATTTTACAGTTACTGACAAAAATTGTGTTTCCATAGTACCGAATAGCAATTTTTATTGTCTGATGTCTGCTTTCTCTTTATGAATTTCTAGTCTAAATAATTTCTAATTTCTGGAACATTTAAAGAGTACAAACGTTCACGAAGCAATTAAAAATGAAGGAATAATAAACCTGGACAACAAAACAGGTAATTATTTTTTCATGAAAAGTTTTTCGATTTTATCTCTTATTTTTACGTCAAATTTAAGTCAGTCGCCGATTAAGGCTATGTTCGCACTAGCTTATATACCGGACAGCTTTCGTGAAGACACGAAAAGCTGTGCGGTATAGTGTAAACACTATAGAGATAGGCGCGGCGTCGCTTCGCCCCGTTGCAGAAATCGCGCCGAAATCATCGTTCTTTAATGTGTGAAGCCCTATTCGGTATGGCTTTCGTGCCGGCCCATGGTAACTGGTATTGTGTGAACATAACCTGAATGACAACTGATTGATGGCTCATGCAAATTTAACTGACACTGCACCCTCCTCATCTGAAACAGGAAAATGGCATATTTTGGTTAAGAAAAAGCAGTGAGGGTTGCAGGAAGCAGGGTGTACATCTTCGCTCAAATTTCCAGGGAGTGTCAGCGGGCTACGTAAGATCACGTAAATGCGGTATACTTATGTGTGTGATGAACAAATAAAGTAACTAAATGAATTTTCAGATGGCTATGCTTACCTGAAATAGCTATTGACATATACGGGTGTCGCTCTTTGCTCAGCTTCAAAAGATGATTCAATCCTTCGTCGTCAGATTTCAAAGGATTTCCTTCCAGATTTAGGCCTCTAAGATGGGCTAGTTCACATATTTCATTCGGAATTGCTCTCAGGTTGATGTTGCTGATGTACAACACTTTGAGCTTTTTCAGCTTTCTGATACTGGAAGGAATCTCTGAAAGTCTATTATTACTTAACTTCAGCCATACCAACTCTTGCAAATCAAATATATCCTCGGGAAATCCTGTGAGTTGGTTGTCGTTCAGAAACAGTTTTTGAAGTTTCTGCAGATGCTTGAAATTAGTAGGTAACTCTGACAATCGATTGTGTTCAAGGTGCAGAACTCTTAGTTCCTTCAGGTGAACGGTCTCATCGATCTCTTGTAATTGATTATTGTTTAAGTACAGTTCTTGTAGCTTCGATAATTTTCTAACGCTTGTTGGAAGCTTTGTCAACTTGTTGCCATTGACGTGGAGAACAACTAGATCAGCCAAATCACCAATATTGTCAGGTAGTTTGGTTAGATTGTTGTCGCCAAGGTCAAGGACCTTAACACCGGCGAGATCAGTGACGTTTGACAACCGTTTTCCTCGCAGGTCCAGGACAACTTGTCCATTAATAACTCTTACATTTTTCGCGAGCTCTGATTTTGAAACGTCATCCATCATTTCGTGAATGCAGTGATCTTGTCTTTTCCTGGGTCTCTCTAAATAAAGTAATACTATTAGTAACTTATATCATTAATTTGAACTTTATAAAAAATATCTCTCCTTTTCTGATTGGCCTTAATATAACCTGCTTGCGGAGACCAAATTTAGAAGATGTTTGCTATTATTGCACTATCTACTACTATCTAGTAAGTTTTTCATGACACATCAATCCTATTCAGACCGCAGGGGCTTTTGAGGGCCCCTCTAACGAAAAAGTCGAGTAACTTTTAAAACTTTCACGCTACATACTTTAATTGAATTTAAGAGCCAATGTCTGTAATTTTCGAGAATCGGCTGACAGTCGTTAATTTTTGAATTTCTTCATATTTTGCTCAAATAATCTCTATAGTACACTAATTTCAAAAATCACCTTAAAACTTGTAACAGCTTTTATTTTTTCATGAATCAGGCAAAGTTTGAAAAACTCTAAATCGGCGATCTTTCGAGTATGAAATTAGCGAAAATTGAGCATTTTCTTCGCGCTCGTACATAAAAACGGAATAATATCTCTAGATGAAATCAAGTCACAAAACAGACACTCATTTTTAATTTATAATTCAGCAATTAACTTTAAATAAACCGTTTAAATGCGACTGTACCGGCTGCAAGAAGAAACACGGTTTCAGCACTTTTCAAACATGGCAAATTTGACCTAACTCCAACATCGTAAAAACCCAGTTGGTACATGGAATTTCAATATGAAACAAGAACTGTATTATAGCATATCCTTTGCCTGTGTTTGTGTTAAAATATTTCTGGCGGCATTTCAAATGCGCACCGTCAAGAGACCAAAATCTGAAGGGTATTTTGACACCAGGAAAGCGCGTGCAACAAGCAAGTTTCGACGCTTGGAATATTAATCCTTTCAAACATAAGTTACTTCGACATTTAAACCCTAGTCAGAGTTGTAACTGTTTCAGATTATATTTCGGCGTTTCTGTTCGGTTTAACATGATTCCTTTCAACTGATTTTGCGATAACCCATCATGAAGAGACACGAGTACGCAGTTCAAATCACAGTTAGTAGAGGGGAATATTGTCGAAATACTCGCTTGCTATAGTTTTAATCGTATTGAAACCTTAAAATCAGAAAAGTTATTTACTTACCTGAACTTAAATGCTAGACGGGGTCACAGTACCGCTAACTAAATTCTGCATCAAGGCAGAATCAAAGTTAAGTTTGTATATGTTTTCAATCTGTCAACACAAGGAAAGATGACATTCCGGAAGCGGGTGACGCGAACGCGCAATTCCTGGTATAAGTGTCTTACGGTGCAAGTCTTTGGTGTATGTTCGTATAGCATCTCGCACATATTCAAACTTGGTTTGTGGCGCCTGTGGCCCCAGTAATGCTGAATGTATTGCGATCATAGAAAAGATGCCGTGAGGCACTTGGTATGCTCCTGACTTGTTAGTCACGTGAGTATGTAGGGCAATAACCAAACATCGACCCTACCATGCTAAAGATAAAAGTAAAGTTTTCTGCATTTACGTTAGGTGACCTTTGTTTGATCCACAAAATTGGCGCATGAAAATAAGAGTTTTTCCTCACCACCGCTAAATGTTTGTTTCCCGGTGGCGGTGCAACAAATCACGTGGTACCGTTCTAGATCAGGCTACTGGCTGCTCATAGAGGGGTCCATAAAGGCACATTGATTGATGACTCTGTATGGCCTGAAGAAAATGATTTACGGAGACGTTTTCTGAGCGACGAAGGTGCAGCTTTTACACGCCTTTTTCGTTTCGAAAATAAGCGAGCGCGCGAGAGAGATCCCCTTGCGCTAATGGTCAATAAATCCCCTGCGGTTTTTATTTTCATACGCGAAATCGACGATCTCTAAAGAAAAAGTAGAGGGACTGTGATTAGGCTACGAAGGTGCTTGCTATTATTTTAGTGAACTTTACAAGAGGTCTCAGGTGACTATGCTAACGTCATGAAAAGTCTACTTAGCTTGTTTAAGTTTAGCTAGGGCAGGAGGAGGAGATGGGTGGGTTGGTTGGCATTTAGTTCTCCATTAAGATCAACCCTATGCATACAAAAATTCATGACTTTATCACTGCATTTAGAGCTAGCAGACTGTTTGATCCACAAAATTGGCCATGAAAATAAAAGTTTTTCCTCACTGGCCCGCGAAATGTTTGGTTCCGGGTGGCGGATCGGAGCACAAATCACGTTGTACCGTTAAAGAACAGCCTACTGTCTGCTTATTTTAAAGGGGTCCGTAAGGGCACATTAATTGATGACTGTGCGCGGCGTGAAGAAAATGATATACGCAGACGTTTTCTGAGCGACGAAGGTGCAGCCTTCACACTTCTTTTTCTTTTCGAAAATGGCCACGGACTTCTCTCCTCGTACCTCGCTGCTAGGCGGTCGTTTTTGCCTGAGGGATACCACCACGAAGGAGTTTTAGCACACAGGTCACTGCAGGTGCAGACTTAGCGAAAAGGGCATTCTCCATCTGAAATTCAAATCGACATGAAAGGCTATTTTCAGCCTTTTATCTCTTTTCCGCGCAACGTATTTGGTTAAAAGAGGATAAGTAAAATGGCTGAGGCATTTTAAAGCATTTTTTCATTTAGGCGTCGGATTTTGACGTTATGAAAAAGAACTTGTCAGTGAATTGGTTTATTTTCTAGCCTGCGAAAGAGTGCCGGGGGGTGGTGGCGGAGAGAGCCAGGTGACTATTCCTTTTTTTAGGCGGGAGTTAGCATGTACGTGCATTCTGGTCTAACGCGATAATGTGTAGACTGGCCTTTAATAAGGGGCGGGGGATCAGATCGTCAACAGCAGGTTGAGGTCTCGCCAGAAGATACCCTTGCTGCAGAGGAGCAAAGCAATAGTACTTTCAGTAATTTAAACATGTTAAATACTTTTATTTCGCTCATCAAATGTGTCCATTGTCCATTGTCGATTCGTGGTTTTTCAGGAATGTTCTTTTTCGGAGCATTTGCCAATTTTTCTTTAAACAGTTTTACTCGTTTCCATTTCCCTGCTCTACCTTCATGTTGCATATGGCGTAAGTGTGTACCTAAATCCCTCAATCCACACTGAGGAGATCGACAGAGAAGTCTATACGCCAAGCGGGGTAAGATTAGTTTATTACAAGCAAAGGCTCAGAAGGCTAAGTGCAAATAAAAAAAACTAGTGTGAAAAGTTTTGCAGACTCGGCTTAATCTATTTGTTTTCTTTCTCTGTTTGAGTTTCGGCTTGTACATCCTAAAATCAAGTTTAGTTCGACATGTTTTGGGGAATATTCAATATAATAATAATAATAATAATAATAATAATAATAATAATAATAATAATAATAATAATAATAATAATAATAATAATAATAATAATAATAATAAAACAGTGTTAATTGTCATTTTATTTTTTCTTGTACACTCGTGCGATGGTTTATCCTTGTCTGTACAGTTGCGTGACAAGACTCAAATCACACACGGGCTTTCATCACGCAACACAGGGTTTAGTCCGTGGCTAAACGACGGAAAATTTCAGCAAACTGCGGCTACTTGCAGTTGAAACGACTGTGGTAAGTAAATTCTTATAGATCTCGTATCTCATTTAGAGCTAGCAAGCCGTTTCTAGCGCCTTTATTTTAGGTGCAGAAACTCGAGGTCAATATTTCCACTCAACACGAAATTAGCAGGGTTGTCTTTTTCAGCTACTTGCGTGCAATCAAATGCAGTGTTAATCTACTTAGTTCTTTTTTATAACCATCAAATTGAAAAGTGTTTTTCAAAAGATCTTAAGAGCTTCCCATAATGTGCCCCTTATAAAAGAAGCTAAGTTTGCAAAAACGTTTGTGTGCCTACACTCGCGGCTAGTTTGTTGCAGCGTTCCAACGTGCGAAACTACCCTGTACGTTTCGGTGTCTCAGCGACGCACTTTTGTAATGTCGCCAAAAATTTTTTAACACAAGAAACGGCAAAGGATGTGCTTTATAATAGTGTTTGTTTCATGTTGAAACTCTATGTACCAATTGGGTTTTTTTGATGGTGAAGTTAGGTCAAATTTGCCATTTTTGAAGAGAGCCGAAATCGTGTTTCTTCTTGCGCTCGACACAGTCACATTTAAACAGCTTATCAGAAGATAATTGCTGAATTATAAAGTACAGGTCTGAGTTTGCTTTGTGACTTGATTTCATTGAGAGGTATCATCCCGTTTTTATGTACGGGCGAGAAGAAAATGCCTAATTTTCGCTAATTTCATACTCGAAAGAGCGTCGATTTAGCGTTTTTCAAACTTTGCCCGATTCAGGAAAAAATAAAAAGCCGTTACAAATTTTAATGTGATTTTTGAAATAATTGTACTATAGAGATTATTTGGGCAAAATATGAAGAAATTCAAAAATTCACTACTGTCAACCGATTTTCGAAAATTACAGACATCGAATTTTTCTAAAAAATCATCTGGGAACATTTTACAGTAGTCGAGACGGGTGTGTCATCGTCGACGTTACCATGGCAACCGAGTTTTGACAGCCATGTTTTTCAAAATTTGTATTTTTCTGTACAAAAGGTTTTAATTCTATGTTTACTTGAATTATTATATTACACCTAATTTAGCATTGTTATCAAATTCATTACAACCGTTGATGTAATCGAGGCTTTAAGCAATTAAAAATGACAAAATGGCAGTTCTAAGGTTCGAGTTTCAACAGTGTTCATTTCTCTCGGCGGGGATTTCATAACTTGCAGAACGTTTGCTTCCTAAGCATCCTTTTATACTTAAGGTGATGTTACTCGGGACGATTCGCTACGACGATTTTTATTTAGCGCAACACAGCGTTGCAATGTTGGGACAATGTTGTAAGTAACTATTCCTGCGAAAAAATGTCGCAACAATGTTGCAACGCTGTGTTGCACCAAAAATCATCGTTGCGAATCGTCTCGTGTAACATTGTTGAGGCCTCAAATGTAATAAATGACCCTAAATGTAATAAAGGTCCTAAGTGTAATTCTTTCTGCTCTTATTATGCTTAGGGTCATAAGAAGATTTCATAGTGTTTGCTTTCAGCCTTATTACAGGTTAACGGAGCACCAGAATGTGTCTAGGGAATATCAAACACTAAATACCCCAGGCAGATCCCCTGTATAGCCATTTGAGTAAAAACTTATTATTATTCATGTGGTGAAATTCTGGAAAAAAGTAAGTATAAAAATTCACTTCAAGAAGTACTTCTGGTAGAAATTAAAATCAAAGTCAGGAAGTCACAAAAACTATCAAGATATACTACCCTTAATATCTTACTGTTTATATATAACTTCGTGTTCACAGCATTCTGTATGGACCGACCGACATACTCTTTTGGAAAATGATAAAAAAAAGAACATTTCTTTTTTGGGCGCAATCGAGCGCAACATTAAAAAACCCCATAGGCAAAAGTAGTTAATTTACTACGATGATTGTTTCTAATGAACATTAATACTTCCTTCAATTACTAAATTACTACTGTATTTTGAAAACTTTTGTGTAGATTCCATTTGTTTATAACTCGCGTTTTACGATGTAGGGATGTAGTAGGAAACACGATCGAGACGTAGTCAATTTATAAGTGTTTCTCCTACTTCTTGAGCGCCCTAGCCGCTTTCTAAGTTTATGAATATCTATGAAGACTACAATAGGGCGAAGAAAGCGAATCGCCAGCTGGCTATGAAATTAATATCGCATCAGACCGTCGCATGTTTCAGTCAGGGACTTTATCAAGTTTGGGGCTGTTATACTACATACATGCAGTATACTGTTAAGACTTCCATCACATTTAGGGCTAAAACCTTTTACACATATAATATTATTAGACCCTTTATTACATTTAGGGCCAAAAGTTATTACATTTAGGACCTTTATTACATTTAGGGCCAAAAGTTATTACGCTTAGGACCTTTATTACATTTAGGGTCATTTATTACATTTGAGGCCTCAACACCTTTAAATTCTCTGAGCTATGATTTATATTCTGTCTTGGACAACCAAAAAGCATCAAATAATTCTTTCAAGGCTACTTCTTTCAAAGTTGAAAAAAATTCAAGGACTTTTCAAGTATGGGACTTGCACAGAAATTTAAGGACTTTTCGAGGACTTCCCCTAAAATTCAAGGACTTTTCAAGACTGTACGAACCCTGACATCACCTTTACATCAAATTTCGGCGCATCCAACATGACGGATGGTTAAAGTTCCGTCATCAGGACATCACTGTGTTTCATTTAGTTATGAAAATATTTATGTATTGTAACTATCAGGTTCATGCCCAATTGCACAGAACAAAAACAGTGGAAAGTACTTTACAGGCATTTTTCTAAATCTTCCTCGCGTGACATCACGCTTCGTCGCGCAATCCGAAGTTTCCGAATATTTTAGCACTTCGTACGAGGAATAGATAAAGAGAGAAAGTCAAATAAGGTCACCGAAATACAGATTGTTTGTAGTTTGACTGGGACTAGTATGACTGGTATGGGCATTATCTCCTGAAATGTTGACCACAAAATTCGCCAATCGGCAAGAATTAAATGGTAAGTACTTCATGTCAAGCCATCATATAGTTGTTCATACTAATTGCCTGCATCCTTGCTTGTGATGCTTTGCTTACTTGAGATGCTCTGCTTATTTGGGGTGCTTTGCTTGCTTGCGATACTTTGCTTACTTGAGGTGCTTTGCTTACTTGAGGTGCTTGCTTACTGGAGGTGCTTTGCTTGCTTGAGGTGCTTTGCTTACTTGAGATGCTTTGCTAGCTTGAGATGCTTCGCTTACTTGAGGTGCTTTAATTTGCTTACTTGAGGTGCTTTGCTTACTTGAGGTGCTTTGCCTGCTTGACATGCTTTGCTTACTTGAGATGCTTTGCTAGCTTGAGATGCTTTGCTAGCTTGAGATGCTTTGCTAGCTTGAGATGCTTTGCTTGCTTGAGGTACTTTGCTTACTTGAGGTGCTTTGATTACTTGAGATGCTTTGCTTACCGAAAGATGCTTTAATTGCTTGAAGTGCTTTGCTTACTTGAGGTGCTTTACTTGCTAAGTATGCTTTGCTTTCTTGAGGTGCTTTGCTTGCTTGCGATACTTTGCTTACTTGAGGTGCTTTGCTTACTTGAGGTGCTTTGCTTGCTTGCGATACTTTGCTTACTTGAGGTGCTTTGCTTGCTTGCGATACTTTGCTTACTTGAGGTGCTTTGCTTGCTTGCGATACTTTGCTTACTTGAGGTGCTTTGCTTGCTTGCGATACCTTGCTTACTTGAGGTGCTTTGCTTGCTTGCGATACTTTGCTTACTTGAGGTGCTTTGCTTGCTTGCGATACTTTGCTTACTTGAGGTGCTTTGCTTGCTTGCGATACTTTGCTTACTTGGGATGCTTTGCTTACTTGCAATGCTTTGCTTACTTGGGATGCTTTGCTTGCATCAGGTGCTTTGCTTACTTGAGGTGCTTTGCTTGCTTGAGATACTTTGCTTACTTAAGGTGCTCTGCTTACTTTCAATGCTTTCAGGGGCACCCAACGAGAATATAGTTCCAAAGCACTTATATATAGCATTGTTAAACTTATTTTAGTATTTAAACGGTAGATATAGGCATATTTGTATCCCCTAAAAATTTTTCATCTGTTCGGATTTCCTAGCTGAAAGTCAAGTGATCCGAAAATTATAGGGATCAAAACTTACCTTTTCGAAAATTTCAGCCAGAAAAACGGCTCCCGAAAATTCTAGGTGACATTTTAACGGTAAAAATCCGTTAAAAATGGGCAATTATAGTAGTTTTTAGATGTTCGAAAATCCTAGGAGAGGCAGGTAGGCAAGAAATTTTATAACAAATGTTCCGAAAATTCTAGATGTCAAATCGTCTTCCGAACAGATATTTTCCGAAAATTGTCGTTGGGTGTCCCTGTGCTTTGCTTACTTGGGATGCTTTACTTACTTGTGCTGCTTTGCTTATACTTGCGATACTTTGCTTACTTGAGGTGCTTTGCTTACTTGAGGTGCTTTGCTTGCTTGAGATGCTTTGCTTACTTGAAGTGCTTTGCTTACTTGAGATGCTTTGCTTACTTGGGATGCTTTGCTTGCATAAGGTGCTTTGCTTACTTGAGGTGCTTTGCTTGCTTGAGATTCTTTGCTCACTTAAGGTGCTCTGCTTACTTTCAATGCTTTGCTTACTTGGGATGCTTTACTTACTTGGGGTGCTTTGCTTATAGTTGCGATACTTCGCTTGCTTGAAGTGCTTTGCTTGCTTGAGACGCTTTGCTTACTTGGGGTGCTTTGCTTGCTTGAAGTGCTTTGCTTGCTTGAGGTGCTTTACTTACTTGCGATACTTTGCTTGCTTGAGGTGCTTTGCTTACTTGAAGTGCTTTCCTTACTTGAGGTGCTTTGCTAATTGGGGTGCTTTGCTTGCTTGAGATTCTTTGCTTACTTGAGGTGCTTTGCTTGCTTGAGGTGCTTTGCTTACTTGCAATGCTTTGCTTACTTGGGATGCTTTACTTACTTGGGGTGCTTTGCATATACTTGCGATACTTTGCTTGCTTGAGGTGCTTTGCTTACTTGAGACGCTTTGCTTACTTGAGGTGCTCTGCTTACTTGAAGTGCTTTGCTTACTTGAGGTGCTTTGCTAATTAGGGTGCTTTGCTTGCTTGAGATTCTGTGCATTCTTGAGGTGCTTTGCTTGCCTGAGGTGCTTTGCTTACTTGAGATGCTTTGCTTGCTTGAGGTGCTTTGCTTACTTGATTTTTACTCGGGATGCTTTTGTTTACTTGAGGTGCTTTGCTTGCTTGAGATGCTTTTTGAATGGTATGGTTTAAGCAGTTTACTTTGGCATAGAGGGTATATAAATCAGAGAGTTTGGGTCTAGAACAGGATATCATTCTCCAGGAAACTCATCAGTTGGTTGAAGATTTTAATCTAGGCTAGGGAAACCGGGAATTGCCACTCAAAAATACATAAAAAATCAAATTAATAAGTTTAAATTTAGGCAACTCAGCCTAAAGGCTAGTCTAGGATAGGGGGGATTTGGGGAGTTTAGTCTAGTGTAGGATAGCAAAATTCAGCTGAACTAGCCGGCTCTAGTATAGGCTAAGGGTTTTAGGGTCCCAGCGACACATTCCCACCCCAAATTTCCTAAATTACCCCGCCTCGGGCTCGAGATGCTTTGCTTACTTGAGGTACTTCCGCGCAACAACAACAAAAAAAACAAATAATTTATAAGAACATATGCCATAATTCCCTAGCAGCGCAGATTGATGAAAGACGTTCTCGTTGCCGCACCGTCGTAGTTGCTCGAGCAGCTCAGCTCAACTCAAGATCCATGTCATATAATCTGAAAATCTGCTGAAGTCATTCCCGATCAGTGTGAGCTTCCTTTTTATTCTCTCCAGTGAGAGTTCATTTTCTTTTTGTATCTAGAACACCCTTTTTAACTATCCATAGAAAGCTAATCCATGTCGAAGGGCGACGAAGTCGGAAGCGGCCGGCCAGACGGTCATTTTAGTAAAAAACGAAATGGTTAAGTATTTTTATTTTTCGAGAGTCCCAAATATCCCTTTTTGTAATCGTTTGAAAGTATTCTATCTTCATTTAGAATAACCAAGCAATCAGGAAAGCAAAAATGGCTTCGCAGATGAGCGGTTGTGGTTTCTTGAGCATAGAGTAGAGTCGACGCTGTTTCGACACTTAGAAAACCCGTTTTCAGACCAGACCAGACCAGACCAAATCCATACCCGTTTTCAGACCTGATCTTTAGGTAGAAATTATGTCATCATCTCTTAAATTAGAGCGCAAACAAAAGAAATTCTTCAAATCTATTTCGAATTCGCGTATTTCTCTTTCTTTCTTACTGATTTTCAGAGAACGTATAGCACTTAAAGAACCCAGATCTAACACAGAAATAGTAATCAAAAAGGCAGACAAGGGCACCACAACGGTCATAATGAACAAAAATGATAACATACTAGAAGGCCAAGTTCAGCTTGATGACAGGCAAAACTACACGGCCCTCGAAGCATAAAACTTATTAAGCCAAAATACATGTTCCCAAAAAAGAAGCTAGTCTACTGAGACTGCCCCACTCACCTGAGTTTTCTAAGAAAGCTTTCTTACAAATCAAGTAGTTTTCTTCTTCTATAGTTGTCTTTAACCTGACATCGTCCATCCCGAGCTTTCTCTTGATTTCATCAGTCACCAGGAACCTTTCAACGATGTCATTAAGGTAACCAGAACAGTAACCATTCCACAGACTTTCAAGACTCTCCAGAGTGAGGCACTGTACAGTTATTATCAAAGACCCTGATTTTACCATCATTACGGCCACTTCATAAGCCTTTTTGAGAAACTCAGTAAGGCGGGCTACACTACTATCAACTGGCAATGACGAAAGATCTTGGTGTCTTCGATACTTATGAACCGACTGTTCGATTTCCTCTTTTAATATTCTTTGTTGTGCATCAGTTAAATCTTGGGCATTCCAAGAAACTAGAACTTCGATCAAGGCAGTAATAACAACAGAGTCTGAAAATCAATAAGAGGAAAGTTACACGTTTTTAAAACTATAGCAAAACATTCAGTATGCACAATAACTTAACACTTATTTATTTACCTACTTGCACAAATTTACGTTTTAATATAATTTTTACTGTTACGTGACAGGTTCCTTCCTCAGGGAAGATGCACCTTCATGGCTAGCTATCTTGGAAGACATATGCTTCTTTAAAAAAAGATTCCGCTCTCCTCACTTGAAGTACCTGAATTTAAAAGACGGCTCTCGTCAAGGTACTCATCATTATTGAATGTCTACTCAGGCGCCTCACCCATAGCCAAAGAGGTTTAAAAACCTCATTCACAAAGACCCCCAACAAGGCAACTTGGTTAGGACGTTATCACAGATTCACAATATTAGCTGCATACTTGAATGTCAATAGAATGTTAACGTTTATAGCAATTCGATGAAAGATACAATTTGGAAAATTACAAAACCTGTTCGCACATATTGTTGAAAATATTTGTCACTAAGATATTTTAAACTGGATAATGGAGACAGGACTTAAACCACATTAGGAGATCGCTCTTTTGCTGTTGCTGCTCCCAAACTTTGGCATTTGTTTTTTTTTTCGCGGTATGGAGAAGCCCCTCAATTGTCATTTTTAAGAAGGCACTCAAGACATTTCATTCCAGAAAGCCCTTACAATGTATGTAACAAAATGCAATTTCATTACTCGTTTTTAGTAGGTTTTATTCAGTTTCAGTTAAAGTGATCAAAGTAATTTTTATAATTTTAGTGTTTGAGATATTTTAATTTTTTGTATATTTATAAATTTATTTATTTATTATTTATTCAAAATCTTTTTTTATAGCCGCTGAAGAAAATGGCGACTATCAAGCGACTACTGATCGATCGGCACTATAAGTTTTACTATCATCGATCTATATTACGAGCGTAAACGGTAACAAGTCCTGTAGGAAAAAGTACCTTTGAATAATCTAACAATCACTTCTCCCCTTTAGATATAGTAGTGTACTGATGAGCAATAGCAAGAAAAACAACTCATGTTTTTGCATACTTGGATTACAAGAGAATCCTGGCATTTTAAGCTCACGGCTACCTTGAGACTGAGAGTCTGTATCCGTGGATATCTTAGTTTGATATCCTG